CTTCAAGAGGCGATTAAACTCTGCAGCAACTATTTATCCCCCTAGAATCATAAGCTAGGGAGCTGATCACTTTAGCAATCACATCTTACATCCACAAAAGCAGATATATAAAATCAACAAACTAAACTTCTAGTGCGTATTTCATATTGATGGGTAACTTGTAGGAAATGCAAAACAAAAATTAATGAATACCAGCTATAAAAATCTAATCTATGTTCATCTCGGGGAGAGACACAAAAATCTGCCTGCTAAGTGCAGGAGGAAGGAGTGCAGTAGAGAATTGCAGGTTTAAAGTCTTATAGAAAAGGTTTGTAGAATTGCTGCATGTGGTGTCGAAGCTAAAATGTCCAATGCATTTTCAACAGTTGAAACTTCAGAGAGAGCAATCTTTCATCCTGGTGGAATCACAAGTTTAAAGAGAGTGCACCGATGTTAGCAATCATGACGCATAAAGGAGAGTAACTGACATGCATGATAAACAAAACTAAATTCTTAAATTCCACCCACATTAGTGCATATGTTTCAGTGCTGGTTCATCCAAAACATGATTCAGTTAACCCAAGAAAATCTCGCTCATTTTGGTCACTGAAACAAATATGCAACAAAAGCGTGTTTGCCTGCATTTTTAGAGTACTTAGTTGGATGAGGAGCTTTTAGATTGAAAATTTCAGGAAGGCATGTTTGCCTGCATTACAATTAAGATAGAAGAGCAAATTCCATGTCATTTTTTACTAGGAATCTTACAGAAAGAAGGTTTTTTTTTTGTTACATTTGTTCTAAAGCTAATGAGCAGGAAATAAGACTTGATACTAAGTACATCTACTAATCCATTTAAAACAAATTCGCTAACCTTACAGTACTTCTTGAAAATTTGCAAGCTCCTCATTGTCAATCTGTTTCTTTAATACAAGCTCTATCGCCAACCATACCCCCCATGATCATTAGCAGAAATTCATGGTAATGATGGCTTTTGATCTTGGAAGACATTACATAAGCTTGGGAAAGAAATTCTGGTGGGCAGTTTGTAGAGGCCAGCTGACACAGATAGAGCATTTTATCAGGTTTTACACACTAGGAAGAAAGAAAAGTGTGCCCGTAGTGTGCCATCCTAATCATTTCTGTCCAATTGAAACAGGATTTGATTCAACAAAGTTTTCAAAAGTTACAAGCTGTGTAATTCAATCAGTAAGCAAGTAAAATTGTAGATTCTAGTTCACATTTGAGCCTGAAATCATTGCAGAACAGAAAACTCGAGTTGAGACAATATGTGAACAAGAAAGCTAATCAGAAAGTTCAGAAAATTCAACAATAATTTTGTTCTGTCATTCCTACAAAAGGCTAAAATATGTCTTGTTTGTTATGAAACTAAATAGATAAGCAAGTACTAAGTCATGTTTACAATTACAGTAGTTTGGTTCCAACCACCAAGCAAGTCTTTACAGCTCATAAAATGAAAATAATAATGGACAATTTGTACTGCAGGCAAAGCATTTCACATTGAGGCATTGAGAAACAATAGAGCTGTGGGCCACTGAAGCACAATAGAGATCCACATTTAATTGCTACCAAAACACCAGTTAGTTCTAACCTCCAACTCTGAGCAGTATGCTAGAGATGACAATTTGAGTTCTAAAACATGTAAATCAGCTCCTCATTATCATGACTACACATCACTGAATCATTTCGATAGTTTAAAAGAACCATACCCCAATAGATATCTCAGACTTTGACCATCTGAGGCACAGAGGAAAAGAGAATGCCATCCTAGATGTTGCCATTCAGCCGAAGCAGGATCTTGTTCAGCAACGAATTGTAGGACTTTCAAAAAGTAAAGACAGTAGGTAAGAGCCATCGATGAGGTTCCCTGTTGAGGTTTGTGCCCAAAATCACTGCAAAGCACAAAAACTCAAACTGAAGGCGGTGAATAGCATAGAATAAAACTAATGGAAATTTTCAGATAATTGTAGTTTTTCTGTCATTGTAACTGAAGCCTCTATCAAGATGGATTCATTAAGAGAAGCAATTCACAACAAGCAGACTTGAATAACTACCAGAATGCTTCAGAACATTGCACATAGAGTTGTTCAGTTGGAAGATACTCCACCAAGTTTTGTGCAACTTCATTGCTCAAACAGTACAAACCTTCCTTTGCTACCTCAAAAATATCTTCGTGATGACAAGATTTGTTTTTTGTTTCATACGTAATAGATTAGATATTGAAGGGGTTAAAAGTCAAAATTGAGTAGTGAAAGAAGAGAAGCATATCTAAAATTACTAAAATTTTTGAACCAAAACATGAAAGTGATGACCAACAGCTGCGAAAACTCCTCAATTAACCACATTGTCTTCATGGATAAAAAGCCAAAATCAAGGAAAAGTGAGCCAGAAATCCATCATATACGACTCTGATAGACCAATTACTAGTCAAATAGTTCAGATAAGTATGCAAGTTCATTATCAAGAGACAAGAGGTAAAAGTTCAGTCCCCTTAGAATCACAATTTTAAACAGAGTGAGATGACTTTAGCAATAACAACTTAAAATCCACAGAAGCAGAGCATGTAATATAAACAGAACTAGACTGCTAGATAGGCTATTTGTAGGAAATGCAGGCCAAAAGTTATTGCGGTCTAGCCATATAGACGGTGCTGAAGAAGCTTCAAAATTCTAACCTCTGTTCGTGAAGCTATTCTTCTATCAATCCTACAAAAACAAAGCATAGAACAGAATATGAACAGAGATACAGTAAAACATCAAAGCACGAAACAGAACAGGTGCTTGGGGTCATTCTAATTGATAGTTTCAAGAGTATTACTATTATGTTGTAAGGAGTAAATGAAGAGCACCAATATTTTGGACCTAATAAGAAATGCTTATGCCGCAGCTTTGAAAGATAATAAATAGGATGATAAAAAGGGAGAAGAGAGAATTGTGAAGAAAAACCATGGGGACTTTTTAGGTTTTCTCACGAGAAGGTTAATCAGAGGGGGAAGTGAAGAGAAGGGGAGATTGATTGATTGTAAAGCAAATTAAGAAAGAGGTTATTGAAGGCAATCTTACTTGATTGAATTTGATCTGAAGATGAAAGTTGGTTATTAATCAACGTATGCGTAGGTCTTGAATGTGAGAAACTTTGGACCACTGGGAGTCGGGGCCGCTGCTCTCAGGAGTGCATCTTTCTTTTAACAGAGGAGAACCAAAAACCCACAGACGTTTTAGTTTGGTGAGACTTCTCATGGCATCCTCAGAGGGTAGATGTCCAAGCTCTTTGAAACCAAATAACCGCAGCTCTTCAAGAGCAGCGAAGTTTCCGAACCAATCTGGCAGAGCTTTTATACCTCCAAAGTCGTATAGCCATAGTGACGTCAGAGCGGTCAAGCATTGGATCTGAGGTGGCAGGGACTCCATGTGTGGCAACCCACATAAGTCTAATCCACGGGGTGCGGATGACGAAGAGGAGGATATCAATCCAGACCAATCAAACTCATTGTAAATTGAAGAATTTTCATGATCATCACCATCTTCTGAGAAGGGACCAATGCTAAGCTCCCTTAAGCTGGTTAGGAAACCAAATCCTTTGGGCGTCATGCTTGTTTTCAGTTTGGGACACCTGTATAATTCCAGCTCCAAGAGAGAAGGCGTTTGTTGCAAATTGAGCGGAAAGGAGATAAGATTGTCGCAATAAGCCACCCGAAGCTTCTGGAGAGAGGTACAAGAGTGTAGCATGTCACCTGGCAGATTCGTCAACCCATCGAAACGAGCAATCACTAGCTCTTTAAGAGACGCAAAGTTTTGCAGGGGAAGGAGTTCTCTGCATCTGTCGCAGCTATAAAATCGCAAACGCGCTAACTCGGGGAGTGTTATTGCTGACTCGGGGAGTGTTGTTGTTGTTGTTGGCAAATCCATTAACCATCGAGGAAATTGATCGCCCATAAAATTGCAAATTGCCAACTCCTCCAAATTTGGGTGGGCTTGAAGGCCATCTAACACATCTTCGTCGTTGTAGTCGTCGCCTTCTCGATCATCTGCCCACTCAAGTACCAACTCAAATAGATTTGCCTTTTCAGATAGTTTTGCTTCCTCAGCTCCTTCCTTATCCTTTACTAGTTCCAGATTGCATATCCTCAAACTGCCTTTGAGGTTCTTCAAGCTTCCAAGCTCTCCAATTCGTCGACCCTTCTCTCGGCCCACGTTAAATAACTTTAGTGTCTGAAGGCAAGTCAGCCGTCCCATCTCTAGCGGCATTTGAAATTTTTTATCAAAGGTGTGAAAGTGGAGATGTCTCAAGCTAATCAAATCGCACATCCCCTTCGGAAGAACTTTAAGAAAGTGACTATTTAGCCTCAGTGTCTGCAAATTATAAAGTTTGCAAACAGATTCCGGCAAAGTTTCACTTCTAGAACGCTCAAAGTTGATGTACCTCAAGTGTCTCAGTTTGCCAATTGAGATTGGCAGATTCTGATTTTCTTCACCGGACAAATTCAGAACGTGCAGATTCTTCAACTTCATTAGCATATCATCAGATAAGCTACCCTGACTCAGAAACAATGTATGAAGCAAATTTGATCGACTATCAAGAAGATTTATTGTGCCTTCTCCAAATGAGTCTATTACAAGACAGCGAACCTGATTACTATAGTCTCCTGAACCAGTCCCCGAATTAATGAATCTAGTAGACTTTGACATTATTGATTTTGCGACGTCGTGCACCATATCATGCATTTTATAATACCTTCCCACATCGTCTCTTATTTCTTCAAACAACGAACTCTGCAATAAAATTTCCAAGTAATATTCTCCAATTTCCTCCATTGTTTTGTTCTCGAGACCTGCATGGAGGAAACCTTCTGCCATCCAAAGTTCGATCAGCACAAAAAATCGCCAAGAAATTCCAAATCAGCATCAACTTCGGGAAAATAGAACAATATGCAGAAAAATTTCTTGACGAAAGAAACATAATTATAATTAAGCTGTGATCGGGCAAATTATCAAAACCACCCATTAAGTATTTGCACCAATAATGGTCTCCACCTGCACTCAAACTCAAAAGCCTATTCTCCAAAATTGATTGCCACTCGGCCCACTCCTCTTTTCTCTTTAAACGTAGCAGACCTCCGATTACACTTGCAGCCAATGGTAGACCATCACATCTTTTGATTACTCTCTCTTTAATTGCCTCTAGTTCATACGGTACTTCTCCCCCCCCAACTACTTTTTCTTTTAGGATAGACCAGCAAAGATCATCAGGTAGCCTTCCTAAGGCATAGACTAATTCATTTTCCATCATCAAAACTCTAGACACACTATGTGCCACTGGACCTAGACGAGTAGTGACCAAACACCAGCTTCCATTAGTTGGATTGAGCCCCTTCAAGGTGGTGAAAAAGTCATCCCACAATGCCTGATCATCATCCCACACGTCATCAAGAACCAGGAAGTATCTTTCCCCCCCTAGGTGATTCCGAATTTTTCCAACGATGACATTCCTGTCTTCCACTTCATCCTTTTCTTCTGTCAATTGCACTAATATGAGTTTGAAAAGCTCCTCTATTGGAACTTTTTTCGATACACAAACCCACAACTTTTTGTCAAAGTGCCCATCAATTTGGTGATTGTTGTATATCGATTTAGCCAAAGTTGTTTTGCCTAAACCTCCCATACCAACTATGGGAAGAGCAGAAACAACCTTCTCAGACAGGCTCAACAAAATCTTCACTATCTCTGATTCATCATCGGCTCTTCCAACCATTGGAGCAACAACAGAGTCGGTCTGCCGACCTCTCGTGTCTCCAACAGCAGGAGCAGCCCTACTGACCAGTCCCAATCCTTGGGCATCTTGATAGATGCCATTCAACTTAAGTTTGATGTCCCTGACCTTAGAAGCCATTCTCCAACGTAAAGCAAGATTAATGTTAGAGAAGGAGAAGAAGCAGCATACCTTGAGCTTGTGTCGGTTTCGGGACTCCACCTGGTGACGAAGAGATTCATAGTGGAGCTCATCCAACACATTGTCAGCATCATAAGCAACCTCCTCGAGACTCTTCAACCATTCTTGCACTGCTCCATCCTGGTTTTGCTTTGCTTCAGCATCGGCCAAGACACCCTTGATCAGGCGGAGAGAACGTGTCATGCTGGCCACATCCTTCTTGAACCCAACTAGCAAACCAATCCTATCAGAGGCAAGAGACAGTGCCCTTTCCAAGGTGACCTGACTTGCGGCACCGATAACAGGGTCAGCCATTTTTGCTGCCTTGGATTCAGTGTTGAGAACAAGATGGTTTTTTTTTTTTATGGGAGGTTTTTTTGCAGCGAGGAACAGGTAATCTTATCTAGGCTTAGTACAATTGGTTACGAAGAAAGGAGCATTAATAATTTTTCCGCGTAGACGTGGAGTTCTTCTCTGACAAATTTGTAAGCTTTTGCATTGGCGTGTTTACAGAGTAACTTTCTCAATTATTGTAGTTGTTGGGGCATCATGTTTTCTGATTAAAAGGTGGGGCCTTCAGAATTTTTGGTTGTGGACCATATTTGTTTTTGTCCACGATCAAATCGTAAAAAGGAGAGTGAGATTCTGTTTTGGTTACATGCATGTCATTTTGTTAATCCTTGGAAAATGAATTTGGTCTGAATTTTGTTCGGTTTTGGGAAGCAATAATTAATGTTCTCTGTTTTCGCACTAGCCATGATGCATTTTGCTTCTTTGCTTAGTAATCAGGCTTGAGATTTTAAATTACCTTTTGTACTTTAGCGTTTCGAGTATATAACATGATCGGTATGAAATCCCTAGTCTTCTACTCGCAACGGATCTTCTCTCCCACACTCTATGCCACTTTCTATCTCACTTTTTATTATATTACTATTTCTCCTACATAAACATCATGTTTTAGTTCTTTTTTTGTTTCCTTAATATCCAATAACTATTAATTGAGTAATACACAAAATTTAACAAACTCAAAAAATTAAAATGCATAAAAAATGAGATTTTTTATGAATTTTCTGCTATATTTTTTAATTTTTTATTATATATTGTTTTTTTGAAACTGCTGTATTTATTTTTCACTCAATTAATAGTTATTGGATTTTAAGGAAACATAAAAGAACTAAAACATGATATTTATATAGGAGAAATAACAATATAATAAAAAGTGGGACAGAGAGTGGCATAGAGTGTGGGACAGAAGATCCGTTGCGCCTTCTACTCCTCTCTTTAAAATCTGATAGTCTTTAATTCAGATCGGTATTAATCTTTTTTGTTATATTATTTCTTATTACTTTCTTTTTCTAGTTGATTTTGGATCTTTTTTTTTTATTACTTTTCTAACTTTTTCTCCTCAAACTGGATGTCTCTCAATCTCTCTTGTGGGAATTCAACATACTTTAAGATGAATTTCATTTTGGCCATTATCAAGTTTGCACTTAAAGAATTAAAGTTCATATGGGGTTAAGTCATACTAATTTCATATCTTTGACATTTATTTATCACAAACCTCAATTCTTCTTTCCTCTGGTGTTTCTTTTTGGTTTCACTGAGCCAAAGCTCAGTTGGCCCAGTGGTTGCAACTTGCAACGGCAGTTGCTTGGCATTTTCGATTCACCTTCCTTTGTAGTGTAGTAGTTGCCGGGATTCTTCAGCTGCCTTTGATCCACATTCCACATGCTTGGGGGGGCCATCGGATGTGGAAAATTCCACCCAAGAGTTGAATGATGAAGAAAAGAAAATGGCAATCATCATTGAGACTCTAATAATTGCCATGGAGAAGTTTGCTTGGTAATTTCACTTGGCCTTTATTGATCAATGCTTAGCTAGGTATTTCATCTTTTTCCGATTGAAAGCTGGCCGGGGCCTTTGGCTGTGGAAAATATCTCAATGGTTTGTCGGAGTTGTGGTTTGACCCAAGACTGACCCCAGCAAACAAAAAAAAAAAAAAAAAAAAAAAAAAAACCTATGTTCAACGATCAAAATGTAAAGGAGAAAGAGCAAAAGACAACCATAGCTGGTGACTTTGCAACATTAATTACCTCAGCCATTAATCCTTGGGAAATAGACTAAAAACGTTATTTTGCCGGGGGAAAAACTTAAAAAATAATCCGTGGTTCACTTATCAAAAACATGAAGTGGAGTTAGCAATCAGGTTTGGCATGTAGCGACATAATTGGCCAATGGTTGGGTGCTTTCTTAGCTTTTACACTTGTGAAATTGCCAAAACAGTCGCTCGTAATTCCACAAGCTTTCTAGCACTTTAAAAATTCAAACATTTTGTTTCAAAATATCTTGTTTATGTACAGCATACCAAATTTAAGTGGTGAAAGTTTAAGGAGTTTCTTTATTACTATTTTTTTTTTGAAGTACAGTATACAATCAACTGGAGTTAGAAGTGAAATAGACCTTTAGCTCATACTATGATTATAAACTTTGACTGAATTGGATGTTTTGGGAAGGGAAAAATGAGCATGTTCTTGCGGATTTCAATTTTTACAATTGAATTATTTGCCTATGATATGATCACAAGTTTAACTTAAATGGAGTTGTGATAATAGAAGATTCTCGAAAGAAGACTTCAAAAGGTGGAAATTGAAAATGAGTGGAAATTAATGGGGAATTAACCAGTTATTTGGATACTTGAATTAAATACTTGAATTATTTGTTCTTATGGTTCCTCTCTCTTCTAACAATATGATTAATTTGTATAAATTTTTTTTATCCATATGGATTAACTTAGTGTTAAAAAAAATTTAACTGTTAGTTGATAGATTTATCAATATTGCTGGAAATTAAATATTTGTTGATGTAGAAAACAAATCGCAAAATCTTTTGTACTTAGTTAAGTAGGAAAATGTAACAAGTTTTATGGTTATTATAAAAATTGTAATTATCTAAAAAATATCCGTACACAAACAGGTAGAATATCTATTGATTTTTTTATATGTGTTATAATATTTGATGAATATTATTATATTATAGTAAAAGTATGTAAAGAAGTTTTTAAAAATTAGTATGATAGTTAAGTATAATTATTACATTAATTTTCTAAACTTAATATAAATGAACTTGTAAGATCATCATTAATTTTTTATTTAAATTATTCATGCTTGCACGAATTCATAGTAAAGTAAAAAAATAAACCATGCCAAGGCACATGCAAGATACTAGTTCAAATTAATGTTGTACGCGTATAGGAGTCACAAAACGATTTGGTGCACTAGCAGACGAAAGGGGACATCTAAAGTATTAGGACAAGTTTTACATCTAGCAGACGAATTCAATCGATTGTGATGTATTTGCTGATTTTCTTGAAATAAAAAATGCATAGGAAAAAAAATATTAGAGAGTTATCCTTTGCATGGAGTTCATATCGTTACTACTTTTGCTACGTGGAATACCAACTTGTCTGATGGATGTCTGCTTGAAATATGCGTTCCACATATTTTGTATGTTTATCCTAATAAATCATCTTATATTGTGCTAATATTTCAAACAGGTTTTGGAATTTTGCTGCAAGTTTATCTTCTCAAAAGATAAGTCAATCGATTTGATTTGCGTCAAAAAATGCTTTGCTGATGCCTTCAGTTGTGGAAAAAAACTCTCTGACCCAAGACGCACAAGAAACTGTTGTCTTTAAGGATAAAAATGTACCCAAAAAATAATAATAAATAAAAAGAAAATGACAATCTACTTTGGCTACATTGTTCACCCAATTTCCAGTTCTTTAGAAATAAAATAGACGTTCAACGCCCATTTTCTAATTCGATTCAGTTCTGTGACCCCTTTTTTTTAATTCTCTATTTTCTATAATTCTCAATTCTTTATTTTGCACTATTTTGTTGGGTGAGCAATTAACAGGCACGTGAAATAGTGGCTCAATGGGGGAAGAAAAAACGAGGGCTATTCCTTTT